AAGCTATTATAATTATTATCCCTCTACAGTTCCCCACTCCTATTGTCTGTAGGGTTGGCTGATTCCATGTCCTGGGAAATTTCGAGGAGCTTTCGATTCTAGTGGATCTATCGGGTGACTAAGTGAGGACTACCTAACTTACCAGCAATTAACTGCAAGAGTTCAGTAACTAGAGGTATATAAAGTTGTAACAATACCTGAATTTTCGCGGGCTGTATCATTCATTCAATTATCGTGTATTAGGTCCATTTGCCTGTTCCGATTGACATTTATTTCGTAATCCCAGATCCCTATAGACATTTCGAAGACTCGTTGGACTTCTGAAGTACCGCTTGATTATTCTACTGCATCAAAGTAGATCTAAGTCAGAACGCGGCACTCTTACAGAACGGGAGCTTGTTTGTTCCTCAGTGTATTTTACAACACTTCATCAACTGGATAGACGGTTGGGCGTCGAGTGGGAAAGTGGTTGTGGAAAGTTACGAAGGGTCTGATATAAAGAGTCGTCCGTTATTTTTATGGAACTGAAGTGAGTCGAATGTCATCCGGTGACTTTCAACAGCTGTCGACATTACTGATGTCACCCGGTTTGAGGCCATCTTGCTCCTGGAAACTATACCAGCGGCGTAACAACTGTTTTAACTGCTTGGATGAAAAGACCTAACGTCAACTGAAATGTGAAAATTATAATTAATGCTGAGTATCTAAGGATTTGAAAGGAGTCGACTGGCAACCTATTTTAAAATATTGCGGCGGACTTGTAGATAGGGATCAACGTTTCGGAGGAACATACTGCGTCTATCGGCCCTTATCCATTCCGGAAAAGCGCAGTTATATTCCTGACACACACGCGCTCACACAAAGAATCGTGTGTTGCATGCTGGTAGCGTGAAGCTTGTAATGTCCTGGTATGTGTTCTAATGGCTTTGCTTATCCTGGTTGATGGTTCAGTGATCGTCAATGAATTGTGACGGATACCCCACATAATTTTACAGAAAAAAGTGTCAGTAGGTGTATGGGGTGAACAAGCCGGCAGGTCCATAACCCCAATCCATCATCCAACTAGTGCTCTCAGGCGAGCTGTTCGCAGCGTCCGATGTTCCGATAACACGGGATTTGTCTAGGGCACCATCTCCACGCACCTTCACACACATCAAGATGTCGGTGGCTCAGCAACACTGTGCTACAGGGCAAAGCGAAAGTTTCTGACTTGTATTGAGAGATCGGTACACGGTTCGAATCTAGGCCATGGAAATGAATGACCTGACTTAGGCTTCTCGAAGTTTACGTCACCATCTGCGAACATCATAGCAGTAATTCAACATCTTTCATTTCCCTCCCAATCTTTTCCAGTTCATCGTAGCCTTTCTGTATTTAAATAATCAACGTACATACAGTTACACGTAACTTCAATGTAAACATAGCGTACTCAATGCGTTAAGTATGGTACGTATTTTTTATATTTTCCGACATGAAACATGCCGACGGAAAGACGGATACTAACGCACATATATGCAGATCTTCAGAGATTACTTAACTAATGGGCAGTGTCGGTAACATTTACGTATTCCTACTGACAGAATAATTGTTTTATGGGAAAACCGAAGGAGGCCTATTCAGAGAAATTCTTGTAGTGTGTGTTGTTCTTTTTCCATCACAGATGTCACCTGAACAGCCTTAGAATTAGACCCGGGTTCGGCGTCTAATCTCCTGTCTTTTCAAGTGCATTTAATAACACTTTATTTTTATCTTTCGTTTTGCAAGTCTCGGGTATTACCCTCTTTTGCACAGCAGTTTCCTCTTCGGTCCACCGTTTGATGTGACGCACCCGATTAAGGTAATCGGGTAACACGCTCAAAATTACACCGCTGTGTTGTAGCTGCATGGTGTATTTACCTTTATGTTGATTGGATCCATAGTGCCGTGAGCACACTCGTCCAGACGCCTTGATCATGCAAGCGGAAAGTTGTTGGAAACGCCACTCAGTACTCACCTTTCTAGTTGCAAACGTGTTAAAACTGGGAGTGGGGCAAATACCCGGAGCTAAAATGATGATTTTTTAGTCCATAATGAATTATCATTCTATACTGTTATTATCTGTGGTTCTACAATACTTGACAGACCTTAGTCTCAGCACATATAGGAGGTTGTTTGATCTGCGTAGACATTTGGTAGGACTCCTTGGACGAGTGATCAGTCCGTCGCAAGGCCTCTACCTATACGCGACAGCACAACACAGAAAGACGCGGACAAACATCCATGCATTGAGTGAGATTGAAACCTACGGCTCTGGTGTCCAAGCGAAGAATACCCACGTCCCAGACCCAGCGACTACTGTGACCGACATCAGTCATTCTGTCACCAAATTGTACGCTTCACGATCACAGCAAAATCTCACATCTTTGCAACACGAACAGCGGAGCGTAGGAGTGGGCTATTGTACCGATAAAGAGGGACAGGAGATAAGCACAGTTGTCAGTTGTCTATAGGGAATTAAAAGGGTTCAGGGATTACAGCTGCTTATGTTATAATTTACGTATTTAATAATATCATTTCCAAAGTCAACCTTTCGAAACGTTGTGATCTTATAATTTAGACGGTGGACAATGCTCAAAAGAAAAAAAATTCATACGTTAAAATGCAACATCGTCAGAAACCTTCAGACTTCGATTAATCGAATCTGTTATATGGAAAGAATAGAAGCAGGACACCTTCCTGAACAGATAATCGATTATACACCGAGGGGTGTAAGATCCATTGGACGTCCAAAGCTTCGTACTTATTCAGGAGAGAGACGGAATGGGTTGTGACGACGATTAGGTAATGTAGATCACAGGAAGTAAGAATGCGGTACAGCCTAAGTGCGTTTGCATTGGTTTTGACGGCAGAGTGACTGTCAAAATGTGAGCTAGAAGAAACCGACAACTTTTTGAAACTCTGCCAGTATTAAGTGCTTCAGTTCACAAGTTCCCCACCCACACCCTGATTCAACTTTTCCCCGCTTTTTTTTTCCTCGCGCATTATTGGCTTGGACTGGTTAAGTATCATACTTCAGGGCTAATGCTATATATATGTATCCTCTTCGGCAACCCATTCCCTTCTTACACTTTTCTATCTTTAATGTGTTTTTTTCTGTATTTCTATCCGTATCCCGTCATCTTTCACGGGATTTGTGATGTACCGAAGTACTTCTCTTTTGCCACTTCAGGAAACCTTTGCTCTGTCTTTTTACTTACGCCAGGTTTTGGTCTTGGAGAAATTTGTGGAAGAATGTCATATATAATTTCCCACGCGTGTTGTTAATTGGTGGCCAGTGTAGTTGTGCAAGTTTTATGGACAACATTTATGAAACATTGCTTCTGAGAAGCTAATAGTCGCTTTCCTTATCGGGAAGTTTACTGCCTTTTATATAACCCGAATATCCATTAACGTGCCCAAAAGAGTCCATCACTGAAACTCGTCCTGAGTCAGAATAGTCACTTGGTAATAACCTGTTTATATGTGATTTTGAGGTTTTCACAGCGGTGACTATGAAGATTTCTGTCTTCTGGGTTGTTGCGCTGTGTAGTCTGGTCGATGTTTACCAACGTTTCAGAGGTCATGCTGCCTCCGTCATCAGGGCGATTCTTAGTATGAAGCTTTCTGTCTTCTGGGTTGTGGCGCTGTGTAGTCTGGTCGATGTTTACCAACGTTTCAGAGGTCATGCTGCCTCCGTCATCAGGGCGATTCTTAGTATGAAGCTTTCTGTCTTCTGGGTTGTGGCGCTGTGTAGTCTGGTCGATGTTTACCAACGTTTCAGAGGTCATGCTGCCTCCGTCATCAGGGCGATTCTTAGTATGAAGCTTTCTGTCTTCTGGGTTGTGGCGCTGTGTAGTCTGGTCGATGTTTACCAACGTTTCAGAGGTCATGCTGCCTCCGTCATCAGGGCGATTCTTAGTATGAAGCTTTCTGTCTTCTGGGTTGTGGCGCTGTGTAGTCTGGTCGATGTTTACCAACGTTTCAGAGGTCATGCTGCCTCCGTCATCAGGGCGATTCTTAGTATGAAGCTTTCTGTCTTCTGGGTTGTGGCGCTGTGTAGTCTGGTCGATGTTTACCAACGTTTCAGAGGTCATGCTGCCTCCGTCATCAGGGCGATTCTTAGTATGAAGCTTTCTGTCTTCTGGGTTGTGGCGCTGTGTAGTCTGGTCGATGTTTACCAACGTTTCAGAGGTCATACTGCCTCCGTCATCAGAGTGATGAATTGAAAATGTGTTTGTCTTGTTTTGCCACAATAATTTTAGATTATGATATGCCCATTTTCCACCGATTTCCTCGTGTGTCCCTATCTTGCAACGGTCACCTCTCGCGTTACGTCATTCCCTTTGCCCTCTCTGTCTCCGGAGCCCTAGAATCGGAAGGCAGTCGTGCAATCGTCCCAACTACTCGCTGGAAAATTCACTCTCGACTTCCAATTTTTCGAGTCATCGAACGATCCTACCAGTACTTTTTGTATAGAAGGGTCGAAGGTCCAGGCCCGCTGTATACGGCAGAATGGATGCAGTTGAATCGATATGTGTGGACGACGGTAACAAAGGACGTCACCCTGCATGGGGAAGGCGAACGTGGGTAAAGGGTATGTGTGTGTGCGAAGTGTTATCAGCAATACTAACAGACGCAGAAGATTCTACAGTAATCCTTGGTTCTTGCTGCTGTCTCGCTAGCTTGTTAAATGCGATAAGTCCTGCAAAACGACCTCTGATCGCCTTTCTTGCGCGCGTTCGAATGTGTGGTCAGGCACATGCAGATGTTGCATTACGTCACACAGTCGAAAAGACTGAACTGAATTCTGAAGCTTCCATGCAGCAAACGTCGACAGTGAAGTTTAATGAAATGATAAAGGGATAGGAACATCTATTTGTACTTCAGCGTATTTCCTTCGGCCTATGAATTTATCTTGTCATTATGTGAGTTCTTATGGGGCACACATGGACGATACTGATGCAAACTTTGCTATGTTACAGCATTTCGACTGCAGAAACCACATCCGGGTGATACAGCCGATGGGAGATGGTGGCCGACTGTACATGTGTGGCACCAATGCGCACAGTCCGAAAGACTGGGTCATCTACGTGAGTAGTTAGCAAATTATGCTCTTATCAATATACGCTATTAGAAAAATACCCGTTGAAACTCAGCGGGGAATGAATTCCTTCATATCTTTGTGCGTTACCTCATTTTGTTCCTTTTCTTATCTATTTAATGTCTTTAGCTCCTTTTAAAGTACTTCTAAACGGTCCCTAATTATAGCTGCACTTGTAAAATATATTATAAATTAAATCTAGCGTCATTACTGAAAACTAACGTCATATATATCCTTGTGAATGTTAATTGTAATATCTCTTCCTTGTTTTTAACAATAAATGATACACCCATTACTATATTATAAATTCAAATAACTTGGTATTTATTGCAGCTGTTGTTTAGCTATTTTCACGAACACAACAAAACAAGTTTGGAAGATTTCCTCCGATTTGGTAGTTACTATTTTCTAAACGCGTTCTTCGATGCAATTTGTTCCATAAACAGGATTCTCTTGACGGCGAGTATAAGATGGTTATATCCTGGGATGTTTTGCCATGTAGTCTGCCTGATGGCTCATTATCAGGGTGACTCACCTCTGAAACGTCGGTAAACTTCTATACCAAACGGCACAGTCACAGAAGACAACCAGCCATGATCATACTCGCCGCCATGAAAGCTTTGTCTCAACAAGATTACTTTTCTTCAGTTATGTACAGGCCGGAATTTTCCGACAAATAATTTCATAGGTTGTCGTGCATAAATTAGAATTCCTTATGCTGAATGCGGATGATTATGACATCTCTTCTCTTTTAGTATATACAAAAGTGTTAATTTGTGTATTGTGAGTAAACACGTTTAGACGTGCTAGTGTTAATTAGGCATGTAGACAGTTATTTGTATTACACGACCTGAGACGTGCCGTCCCTCGGAAAACCCACTGATCTATAGAACACATACAGTAGATTGTTAGTTATGGCTGCTAATGGGACTGTATCTAGTTTTAAGCATCCACCGGTTTGTGTAACCAAACAGTAGTATAGCCAAATCATAAATGAAATACATGTAGATGTCATGTAATTGTATTTTACTGTCTATCTTATTTTTAACAACAGACATATGTACACATGTATTGCAGTCTGACGCTAAATATTGCATTAATAAAATATATTCGTGTTTTCACGTCAGGATATGAGTTTAAAACGTACTAGACGTTTGGGTAATCAATGCTCTGCTGCACTGATGTGATGTTAATTTGCATAACTTTAAATGTAAACATTTAATTTTAATTTTACTGTTGTATGTACTGCGTCTCTGGCTTGTTTAAATGAAGAAATACCATAAGAGAAGAAACGTCCGTCCAAAACTGGTGTGTTGAAATTATTATATTCTGAGTATAAACCAGGCTAGGTTGTGCGTTGTTATTTATAAATGCGTCAGGACATAGCGGTTTTAATAATTAATAAATTCATGCATGTGTTACTCCCTCTGTCAGAAACTGTAGTTCAGTCGCGTTGTATTATAAAATTCTGAAGCAGAATGTTTGTAATCAGATGCTGAGGCTAGTTTCAGTAATCCGTTACATGTAAGTAGGATCGTTCCGATTAATTTGTAAACGTTTTATCTAACTTTTGTTTTTGTGCATATTGTAGGGTAGTTGGTAGAAAGGAGAATTTCCCGCTATTAAAATTTTCTGCTGAATGTTTTTGTAGGGTCCCTTTACCCCTGTAACGAAAGATGAACAGAGGAAAACGTGGGGATACACCCATGCCTCGGATGGAATTCGAAACCACAACCAAAAGCAACTTAAAATCGACACAAATGAAAAGTATTTCTGCAAAACAAATGTGAAAATATTAATCCATTCTGGAGTCCTCGGAGGTTAATTGAATTCCTAGAACATAGCGATTCGTCAGAAGGTAATAGTCGCTTAATTGGCTAAGAAATTGCCCGTCTTTTACGGAAACGCGAAGGTTCATTAATCGTGTTCCCAAGAGCCAGCCACTGTACTCTGTCTTGAGACAGTTGGATTATAGCGAACTGGTAAAGAATTTTAAGCAGATCACTGCCTGATGTGTACACATTGTGGGCGGCTTGCATGGGATAGGAGTCTCATGGGGTTTTGGTGAGGTCGAACATCTTTTAAGTTGCGGGCGGTCCCTCCAACTACCACGTTATCACCCTCTTTTTTTGGGGGGGGGGGGGGGGGGGGAATTTGCACGTAGATGCACAAGAATGTTACTGGAATTTCCTTTAATTTGTCATCACAGTTTAATCTGCGACACAACACGATGCTGATTTGTTCTTTTCTATTATTTTAAGTCGGTTTATTTAGTTTGTACAAGTCCGAATGACTGGATGCTTCGGAATGATGAAATTGGATTGGGTTTAAAGTTGGTCGTGTCCTATTGTAAGAGAACACCTCAGCGTTTACCAGATGGTCGAGATATGAAGTAATGAAACTACAAATGTTGATGGGACAAAGTTTAGCTTTCACTTTTTACATTTTAACACTGTTATAACCTGAAATAGAATCTCCCGAAGTTGGAGGCATTGTGTTCTTCCGAAACGTTTGTGTCTGCCTTCAAGTTCATATTGCGTTACAGCCCCAGAAGACCGACATCGATGGAACAAAGGATGTTTATTGCCCTTTGAAGACCCTGTCGTTGCACGTTAACTGTAAGGCCACGTGTGGCCGAAGGCATGAGTTTGTTCGTACCTGTCGTACTGCATGGCGAGGCTCTTCTGGAAACAACTTGCAGACACCTCCATAGGACTCTGAGCGCGAAAGAATAAATAAAAGATTGAAAGTAAGCAGAAAACGTCGATGGAGAAACCATCCACTCGGAAATACGGAAGCTAGGAAGAAAGAAAAAATAAAAGAAAGGGAGATGCTTTGGTATAAAATAAACATAAGAGGGTTGTAGGAAAGGAGAGAGGGTGCAACCCTGCATTACAGCATTTGTGGTTGGTCTTGAAGTCGCAACAAATGTAAAGCACGTTCTAGAATTGATGTTGTTCTTCTGGGTTTTGGCGCCGTGTACACTTGTCGGAGGATGCCAGCGTTTCGGACAAACATACCGTCTCCATGTTCAGGGCTGAAGTTAGGATCTGCATTTTTCCACTGTGGCATGCGTAATTGTCATTGTGACTGCTTCCTTTCACACCCAGTCCAATTCATTATTCATCCTGTATTCGTTGCTCTGTACTCCGACTTACTTTCAGTCTTATTAAATAGCTACGTGGAACAGAGACATTGAGAAGCTAACAGTATGTTCAGCTGCTCAAATTTCCCCACATTTTAGGCTACTGCACTCAATACAGTGGGGTCAATGTATGTACAGTCCACGACTGTAATCTTGAGACTTGCAAGGAATGCAGGAAGTCCGTAGCGTTAAAGGCTCGTTCCTCCTTCACCCCACTTCCTCACCCCGCAAGTCTCAAGATTACAGTCGCGGACTGTACGCTGTGTACGTGTGTTGCAGTCGAACCTGACTCATCTTCCTCGCCACGAGTATGTTCCTGGAGTTGGTGTGGGAGTTGCGAAGTGTCCGTTTGATCCTGCCGACAACTCGACAGCTCTGTGGGTGGAGAAGGGAAACCCGGGGGAGTTACCAGGCCTTTACAGTGGTACGAATGCAGAATTCACCAAAGCAGACACCGTCATCTTCCGCACTGACCTCCACAATCTGACCACAGGGAGACGCGAGTACAGCTTCAAGAGGACACTGAAATACGACTCCAAGTGGCTGGACAGTGAGTACAGATTACAAGTGTTTCTTTACAGAGAGTTGTGGACTCCGTTGTTTGTAACATGTCACTTGGCCAAAATTGGTAGATAATATTGAAGTGGATGTTAATGTATAATGGAGTGTAAGGGTGTGAATGTTGTTTAAATTGACTCAGGATCGGGTTCAGTAACGTAGTGTTTCTCAGCAGGGGTTCGAAAGTTGTGCCTGAGGGGTCCGTGAATTGAGTAAATTCTAATATTTTGTACATTTTTGACGCTGTATTAATTTTTAAGTGCTTTATATCGCACGTTTTACTACCAGATGCCCGAATATAAGGTACTATCCCAGCATTTTTCCTGGAGCGAGTGAAGAAAACCACAAAAAAAACCTATGATGCCGGGCTCCGGGCCGAGATTTGAACCCGGAACCTCCCGAATACGAAACAGGAGTGCCAACCACTCGACCGCGACGTTCGCTGTAGTCTGTATTCTGTTTAATCAAAATATATTACATAATTAGTGATAAGGGGATCCGGGGGTCGTAGAAAGGTTGAGAAACACTGCAATAGCGGATGCTTTCGAACACGGAGTGAATGCCTTTCCTCCGTAAAACGTGGGAATTTTCTTGACAAACTGAGTAGTCCTGTCCATATAACTTAGTTATAATACGGGCCTCAAGTTCTCTTCAGTACGGTTGTTTAACCATTGAATTTCCATTCGCCTTGAGTGCAACAAAAATTGACACCGTAGTTTGAAAATATTCCTTAGGAGCGTGATGTGACATTTTTGGGTGAATGATTTTCATATTTTCCCCCATTATTCCCCCTGAAGAAGGAATTAAAAAGAAGTGGTTTTGAAATTACTAGCGCAGGAACGAGAAACCGCGAACCCAGAAGCTGCGAAATACCGTTGCAGAAATTAATGCTACTCAATTGGGAGTGGGTGAACGTAATTGGAATTCCCTCCCTTCCCCTGCGTCGCCATGAAAGGTCGCTGCGCGCCTTGGCGGAGCCGCAGGGGTTTGGGGGAGGGGGAGGATGAGCTCAAGTCGTGTGTCATTCCTCTGTCTAATTATTGCACGATCTCTAGGGTCAACAATAGACAGTATAATGTCAGGGGTGATTTTACCCCTTCTGTTCCAGACCTGAAAACTTTTAGAGGCACACGAGAAAGACGAAACTTCGCAATTGTTTTATTTAACACCTGAGCGTACGTCCAAGGAAGTGTTGCTGATGATGACAATGAATTATTCTGTAGATTAGAGGACTAAGTTCCTGAAACTTTGCTTCTTGATAATCCAATAGCATGGGATCAGATCGGGTATGTCAAGTATTACGTGATGTACCTCACCCTCAGTGGTACTAGTTTGCTTCTTCGTTTACGTATTCGTTCATCTTAATTCTTTTAATTCTATCAATTCATTCTTATACCATTTCTTATTCAGTTCAAGAATGCACAAATCCGTGACAGCTGAAGAGCTGTAGACGAAGGAAGTCTCGTATTTAGAAACAGAATATGACAGCAATGGCATAACTGGTATTTGACAAATAAACGGAGACGGAATTGGTCCCGTATGACTGACTTTTCAATGTCAGCATTCTATAAAGCCCTTAACGGATGACCAGGTGAAAGAGGCTTCATGGTTCACTGGTGCCAAAGGAAACTCCAAGAAGTTTCAAGCGTTATACATCAATTGTTCACTTTGCTAAAAGGAACATTCACACCTAAAATACTACCGTAGACCGGACGCAACATTCGTCTCTCCATCTTCCCATCTTCTCATATACAAGAGGTTCCAGGCCATTACCGTTAATGCACTTCACTCCCACCCGCCTTAAGAAAGACGCCCTTGCTTCAAGCAAGCCGAGTCACGGTGTACTGCTTTCGTCTGTTTCTCTCTCTTTCTGCCCCTTAAACTACTTCGACTTTATTGGGATAAACTCGCATAACACGTACAAGAATTTCATAAAAGGATTCACCCGTCTCCTTCCACAGCTAGAACAAGGGATCCTGCTCTCAGAAGTAGAAATGGGAGACCATTCATGAGAAATTCGTATGCCCTCCCTCAGTCTTTCTTCTCTCAATAGGAGATAGCTGGTAAAAGACTCCTGATATAAGAACAAAACGGAGAGGAAATTAAAGACGAAGGCAAAGCGAGTAAATGACAGACGATAGGATGTGATAACTACTAAGCAGATGTGGAATTTAAAATTGAAAGGGTAGATACGTTAGTAGAGGAATAGAAATGTAGAAAGGGTCTAAACGCAAACTTAACTGTGGTATCTACTGGAAAACTACATTACTCAGGGCGAACTAAAAATATCCTAGCTTTAGTCACACATCAAGGACGATTTAGAACACTGTGTAGAGGAGAATGTTTAGAGGAAGTAACCGGGGGTTAGAGAAACGTTTATAATGAACAGGTTCGTAATTTTTACTATCCACCAAACTATTACTAGCATCTTCAAATAATTTATGCTATGAACGGGGCGTGTAGCGTACCGAACGCACGTGAATTGTAAGCCCATGGCATAAAACTTAATTTAAGTTGAGAGTGTGGGTTTTTCTTTACCATTTCTATTTTCTTATTACAAGGGGAAGCTTGGGGTTGCCTAGAAATTACGTTTTTTTTTAAAACATCGCGACACGAACCGCAATTGTTTTCAGGTGCTGTTTCCGAGTCGTAAACCAGCGTGTTCTTGCGTCTGTCTCTTAGGGCTACGTTCGTACCAAATCACTCATTTCCTTTGGCGATATTAAGACTATTAAAGTTATCTGTACTGCCACAGTTAAGCTTACAGTATTTGGACAGTGCGTTACAGCATGAAGTAGCCTCTTAAAACATTCTTCAACATAAAAAAGGGTAAATTGCTTGTATATAGTACGCTGCATTACCATACATATTATTCCCATAATACACATCGGCTGGCATGGTCTTCTCTTCTCCTGTATTTAAAGTATGCAAATTTTTGAAGGAGAAAGCGCGGGTGAATTAATGTAGTCTTCAGGCATTAAATTAACTTCCTTTTAATAACTTTTCGGTATGGCTGTCGAGGAAGAGAAAACGAAGGACTTTGGGACAGAATCGCTTTCAAATCAAAGAAGGAAGACCAACGTTTTAGCTCCTCAAAGCGAAATGTAGGTTTTTAAAGACTTAGCTTTTTTGATTCGCTATTGTTTCCAATTAATTTTAAAAATGTAATTACTGAAGATGGACTAAGCAGCTTCGATATATGAAGTGTAAGAGTCGAATATAATAACGAGCTGACGAGGATTTTTCCAGCGTGGGATTGCTGTGTGTGTCAGAAGGGGTGAGATAACGACCTCTCCATAAAAACGTAATGTGTTGTTATATGATGCACAGGGCCCTGGACTTGGAGAGCTCTTGTGAGAATTTTAATGAATCTTTGGCTACCACGCAAGATTTATATTCAGAATTTGTCTTTCTACTTTTATACGTGCATTCTCATCCTCTTCTGTATTTTGGTGTGTACTGTTCTCTCAAATTTATGGAACCAATTCATTTGGCCGTGTCATTTTACGTAGAATGTGAAATATGTTTAATTCTTCTCTGGTTGATTTCCGGTTTTCTGTTAGTTCTCACATCGTCCGTGATACCCCTCTGGAGCCACCTACTAGTACTTCAGTGTTTCTCGCGATGTTTAGGAGTCCAACATTTTTATCCGCCCAAATAATTTTGTTAGAGACTGTTCTTGCCTCAGGGTAGCCCTTCCTTTAATAATTTATTAACACTGGTTTATAAATTATTCAAATTTGCTTTAACATGCCAAAAATAAGTAGTTTTTCTCCACTCATGTAAAATGTAGCCATATAAATATGTAACAAAGCAATAAGAATTTATTTTTGTAAAATTATAAAACCATTTTATCTGAATTGAGTAGACATCGGTTATAGATATTGGTTGGCATTTTTCCAGTATTGAAAAAGTTACGACAGTGTCCCCTTAAATCCAAGTATTCTTGTGGGATATATTACCTATACTCTTATTTGTTATTTGCTCATTGAATAGGAAATCCATTTTTCAGACATGAGCCATAATAAAGAAGTATTACTTGCCACTGATAAGAATTTTCGTATAAGCAGCAAGTACGAAAGGGCATGAAACATGAGCATTTTCGCCACGTTCTGCGTGCGTAAACATTAAATTTCCAAGCTTCGCCTCGTTATCATAAACTGTAGTGACTTGTTATATTTATGGTATAGTAAGTTGATACAGTCAGCGGCGACTGAAAGTAGTTGAGGGGGTGAGGAGGGGAGTGTCTGGTCATCAGTATTCCACGCCACGATGTCGCAGTAACGTGTAATTGAATTATTGCACGCGGTGTAGGGACTTTGCAAAGTGAACCCTTCACAGCGAAACACACAGTCAACGTGTACATAGGCGCCTTTCACAGTAAAAAAACGTTTTAAATCTAGTCCGACCACAACCGGAAAACCGACAACCACGTGCTAGGTCACAGAAGAACAAAATTAAACCATCCAAGTTTTCGTAAAACATACACGAATTTCTTGAAGGAGCTTTTCATTTCGTGCTAACCATTAGCATATATCGACTTTCCTGATGCGCCCGCTGGTTAGGATATTGATGTTGCTGGTCATGTAACTTTATAGAATCTAATGGCCCGTGGTTAGCATTCGTGCTTCGTATTAGAGAAGTACCGGGTGCGAATCTCGGTTCGGGGATCGGCTATTCTGACTGAGGATTTTTTTTGTGATTTTCCGCAGTCCCTCCATACAAAATTCCGGGATGGCACCTTGAGTTAGGCCACAGTCGCTTTCCTCCACGTCTTTCGATTTTCAATTTTACACATTTCTCTATTTTTATTTCAGGCGATAAACGTTTCTATAGATGCCGGTCTTTAGTGTTGTGATGCCATGTATAGGTAGATTGCAGCGTTTCGGTGTAACATAATGTGTCAATCTTCAGGACTGAAGTTGTTTTAACCAGATGTCTAATCTAATTAATCATTATGTTGCTGTTTTACTGATACGACACTGTAATTGG